GGTGATCTTGGTATGGAAGATTGGCAATGAAAATTGGAATGAAATCAGAGCGGTTCTGACAGGTAGATGGCACTCGAGAGGAGATGATGAAGAAGTGGTAATTGGGACGATTCGTCTTGTATAAATACTCCAGGCACGTATGGAGAAAAATATCCGAGTTTGAAAATTGACTTCATAGAAAAACGAGAAGGAAAAAAAAAGTTATGGTGTTAGGTACAAGACGTCCCGAAAGTTTTAATTAGAGTATGGGTTAGAATTCATGATATGGTTCCCGGTCCGATTCTATGAGACTATTAATAAGGGATGTAATAAAATATACCTCGATTCTTACGTGTAAATCGAGGCAAAGCAGAGAGTACGAGTTCTTATTTCGTGGGGATAATAATGTTCATACTCGAGTGCGGGGTAGCGGAGGCTACATTAAAAACTTAATATAAAGATATGCTTAAACTTGAACATTGTAGGGATACAAATAATGAGAATTTCCTTATTCTTTACTCTATGACTTTGCCAAGACCGGAACGAACGTGATTATTCGATCTCGGCTTCACTCTCGCAAAACAGAGCGAGAGTACTAAGGTCGGACTTGTAGGATAATACGGGACAACCCCAATTGGAAGGTTCTGCCTACCCGCTTTACGGGAGTTGCGAGGGGAATCTATAGGCGAAACTCTTTACTAGGATATTCTCCGGCGGGGAGTCTCTAAGGATATAAACCGGGATATCCTTATGGTGAGTATCCTAGTAACGAGTTTCGCCTGTAGAAACAAGAATATCTTCGTTACGAAGAAGATTTCGGGGCCCCGAAAATCCCAAAGGTATCCTTTTAGCGAGAATCCTAGTATTGATCTTTTCGTATTTTAATCTATATAGTTCGTATAGTCGGTATAGAACTATTTGCTAAGTTTGGATATAGTAGGTAACTTTGAATGCGATCTTACCTGTGCACGTGTACGTACCACCTGGATAATGGATTGTATACCTGTCAAGCACTTATCTCAGTTTCAGACGCTCTTTATAAAGGCTTTTGGTCGTAGGCTTTCACTCCCCCGCTCCCACTTGCCACGTCACCCACCAGCTCTCACCTCGGCCCGCACCCACCTCCAGCGAGCTAGTTATAGATACAGATATAACAAAGACGAATTTTTATTATTTCCATTTTGAATGGTGCATTCCGAATAAATCCAGGATACGGATACGATATTCGGAGTGATATTTGTGTTGTATATGACGTAGGAGCCAAGCCATCCACTAACTCGTTACGACTCTGAAAGTTTGATTTATATCGTGCACTTGGAGTGCGCATTCCGAGTTAAAACCGCCTTTCTCACCCACCCGTCTATCTCAAACAAACACGAACTCCGCTCAATCTTAACTACCGGGCCATCTGTAAGAGTCGAAACCATCATTACATATACATTGGTTGATCTGACCATGTTCATTACATCTGTAGTGCTTGCCATCCACATCCTATCAGATAGAGATTAGCACGTCATTCTTTCACAAAACGTTCCCAATTCGTATCTCCATCATTGATAAATGATTATATATCTGTATGCTAAAATACAACCTGGTGTTTGACATAGGATGCTACACAATCATCCCAGGAAAATGGACATATCTTCCATTGTTCGAGGGCTACTGTCATGGTGGAGGCAGTGAAGCAGCTCGCGAGGAAGAGTTGAAGGAGGCGCATGTTGACGAAGTGTGTCGTGGTTGTTATGAAGATAGTAATAAGATAATAGTTCGTCCTAGGCATAATAATTGTAACTTTCATGGGGGCTTTCACCCTGTTCTTAGTGAACTCACCCTAGGGAAAATTAAATTAACATACCTAGGACGAAATAATATCACTGTACTGTACTTGGGCACCTATCCGTACTACTCTAAAAAAAAAGAGGGTCATCAAGGCTAATAGATATTTTCGAGTAGCTTTATAAACAGGTATCATTGTAATACCATGTCAGGGTGTATGATTAGATTGTCTGCAAGGAGAGAAGAGTTCTCCAAGCAGAAGTGCTGAATCAAATCTGTTACATACCACTAGCGTACGCACGTTTTATTTTTCTTGTGCTAATCCTTAGCCATATATCTTCATCAGTACAAGACATACTCGAGTAGTGTAGCATGGAAATGTCACCTAACTTTACCTTGAAGTACGTTTCAAGTTCAAGCGTAATCCCACGCGCCGTCATGAACATAAGCGTAGGCTATAGTAAGGGTAGGAAGGTAGTAATTAGAAGGGTGTATAAGTAGAAATAACTAGGTACGCGAAGTTGAAGGGTAAGAGTAGCTAGAGTTAAAGGAGCGTTCGAGTTAAATTCAAGCTTATTTACTTATATCGAGTAATTTTATTTTTAATTCTAGCGCTGTTATATAACCCTAACCCTAAGCCAGTTTACGACTTGCGATTTGCGAATTAGTATCTACTCTATTCGACCTTTTAGTATATTTAGGATGCCGTACTAGGAGAACTAGGTCGTTATTAATTATCTATAAATAAATTTTTAAAGTAACTAAAGAAAAAGCTACACGAGATAATTAAATCTTGTGTAAATGGATACAAGTAATCCAAGTCCTATCATACTAACTCTTTCCTACGTTACAGATTACTAGACAAGCCTAACTCTAATAAGACCTCTGAATCACGAACTCTACGCATTTCCCAGGTCCTGTGTGTAATTCTCCTTGGGGGTCAGGAGTCAATAAATAGCACACGATTCCCAGCCATTGTATAAAGGATTCTCTCTCTAATATTGAATGCTAAGCATGATTTCGACAGTAAGTTAACTTTCGATAGTAAATAACATGAAGGTTTCTCGACAAAGAAATTCTTATGTAAATTAGACCGCGAGAAATAGCGATAATGCCTCTATACATTCACCCAGCTTGTTCCAAGAGATATACTTTCACTTTTGGAATTCCCCCATGCCAAGGATCGCATACATAAGTTCTGTCATGGAAAATCCTGAGCACTTCGAGCCTTGTGGTTTTCTCCTGGGTTGTAATTAAGTAATTCCACTGATATAAATAGTAAACGTAAATAAACAGCGATCTGGTAGATGCAGGGAAAACGTCTAGTATAAGTTTTTCAAATCAAGTTCTAATGATTGCCGATGTGATCGGTCGTCTAGGTACTCGTTGGCCTTTGAAGATAGCTCCATATAACACCTAGTTATCTTTGCTTCAACATTTTGAAATCAAGCATCTAACAACATTCTAAGTATTCATCCTCCTGTTTTGCTTATTGCTAACTCCTAGCTCCATTTATAGTCCATCTTTTAGCGCTGATATTAGGTAATCTTCACGTTTCGTAATATACTCGTCGGCTACTTCTCTAGATTATTTTCAAGGGGTTCTAATGTAACTCTTATATCATTTACAAATTATCTCGCGGCTTCTTGAAAACCTATATGTGGTTATACTGAATATGTATGCTATATTTAAAGCTTATGTCTTGATTAAGACTATAGTTGTCAAGGGTTGCACCCGTGGAGTGAGTCTTGGAGTGCTCCGGCGACATGTGCACGTGACCTCTAAGCAGACTTGGTGGAACCTTCTAGAGTATTGGTAAAGGACACGTAGCCAGTTCTGTGGTATATAGAGAGTGTTTGGAAGCTGCTTTGGGAAGGACAATCGAATCTTCTTGTACATAGACAACCTCTGTAGTTCAATTCATCAGCATTTGCTACAAGTCCTGACAATAGTCGGGTGCTACTACTACTATATAAACCCTTAAACCCTACTCAAACCACTCCTTTTACCTACTTTAGAATAATATATAACTAATCGCCCCGTTAGTAGTTTTCTCTATAACTAAAAGTACTAGTTAACAGCGACCTTTGTGACGACACGTACGATGTGTTGCTCAAGGAGCCTCCAAGGTGTAGGTTATGGAATCGTAGAACTGTCTATTCGAAGATTCTAAGCTGAGGAGAAGAGGAGAGCTCGAGAGAGCTTGAGTCTAAATACAATGTGGCTCGCTATGGAAGCCACGTGATATGAATGGCACGTGACGGTCAGAACCGTCACAACCTTATCTAACTTTTTATAGAATACACTCTACTAAAAAGTAAAATTCGTTATATAAGGTTAATACTTGCGGGGTAGCTGTTCTTCTAGAATAGTTTCGGGTGATTTTCGGTATAAAAAGTATACTTTGTAATCTTACTTAACTTCCTTACTTAATGTCACGAATCACGTGCAAGCACGGGACAAGTGAAGACCAGGCGGTGTCCTGACAGGTCGAGCACTATCATATCTCTTATAGCAAATAGGGACGCTTAGACTAGCTAAGCGATCCAGGGATTTCATTCCATTCGTATCACGTGACTAGTTGTGCTAGACAGGGCGACCGGTCGCGCGGTCTTGCAGCGACAGGGCGACTGGGCTAGCAAGCTAGCACAGGAACATGAAGGTTCTATATAAGACTGGCACGTCTGCCATTAGATAGGAGCTTCGTGCTCAACTTAGTTATCAATCTTATCATATTAGTTTGACATCTTTGATACAAGTAACGAGTTCACTTCCAAGTGAACAACCCGATAGTCTTCTTCTTATCATAGCATACCAACCAGCGAACACCCAGCCAAGTTTAGTTAGCCAGTTTGAGTATTCGTTACACTTAATAACTTTATAACTTTTGATATAAGTTAATATAAGTTAATGATTATATAATATTTTGAGTTTAATAATAAAATTTAATTTTATAACTAAACTTAGAAAATAAGAATTACTATTTAACTTTACTCATTCAATAACTTACTTATATAACTTATAATTTCTTTAAATCATTATTATTATCTTACGCCGCTACGCTTATAGCCTACGCTAATAGTATACGGTATCTCTTCTAGTCTAAGCTCTAGCTATCTCTAGGTAATTGTACGGATTATACCCCTGTTATACTATAGAAAGGGCCTTGTTCTACTCGGTACAAGGCTTAACTAGCTCTTCAATAGCTATAAAGAAGTTTTCGAGGGGTAATGGTCATAGCTTAACTAACAAAGCGTGGTAGTAATAGCGAAAATCGGGTTACCGCTAGGATCCTCTATAACTGGCATGTCGAGGCCTGGGAGTGGGAACTTGGGCTCGGGGCCTCTCCTCGTCCATCTTCCTTCTTGATCATACCCCTTCTTCTCCATCAAGCCCTTGGCTTGTTTGAAGACCAACTGTTCTCTCCTTTATATCATTTACAACGGTATATATTCTGGCCCATTGGTCTGCTTCCACATGGGTTGGGCGCCGAGGTTTCAGGGCAGCGACGATTCGGAGGACACATGATGGATGGGCATCCATCATGGCGGACAGGCTCTAGTATAGAATGTTAGTAATATCCCCTAGATATATAGAAGAAACGTACCTGCTTCTGCTCGTTGTTTTGCGCCATTTCAGCTATTCTGGTATTTGAGAGGAATGGTAGTACGGTGTGAACAGAGAGAACCAGTGGAAATATGTGAATTTACGCGTAGTTCTATTATTTCCTGTCGTATCTATATGTTTTGTGGGCGCGCTACTCGGATCGGAGATAATATCGGCCCCTCGACGTTAATTTCGGCCAAGTATCGCACACAAAGAGATTACACATGTAACTATACCTTCTTAGTTTAATTTTAAACTTTAAATAAAGGGTTTTATAGGTTGTTTGCTATGAATTACTACGTTTTAATAAAAGTATCTAGATGTCGGCTACATAGGAGCCAGGTTATAGTAGTTGGTTATTAGCAAGTTAGCGAACCCGCTACTACTATAATAAAAGCTCACTGAAATGTCCGCGTCTTGGTCCAGTAGAAGGCGTGGGGGAAATAAAAAACCAATTATTAGTATAAGTATAGAGTAATCTCCGTGGTTGTCTAGAGGTCTCTATGGGAACGAGAAAGTGTAACGAATACTCAAACTGGCTAACTAAACTTGGCTAGGTGTTCGCTGGTTGGTATGCTATGATAAGAAGAAGACTATCGGGTTGTTCACTTGGAAGTGAACTCGTTACTTGTATCAAAGATGTCAAACTAATATGATAAGATTGATAACTAAGTTGAGCACGAAGCTCCTATCTAATGGCAGACGTGCCAGTCTTATATAGAACCTTCGTTCTCTCTACATCGCCTACATCACCTGTCGATGTAGTCGACCTCCTATCGCTAACATCGACTGTCGATACAGGCGATGCGATTGATCACGTGACTACATACACGAGAAATCCTTGGATCGCTTAGCTAGTCTAAGCATCCCTATTTGCTATAAGAAACCTGGATGTGCCTGTCGAGGGTTGCGCCTCTTTATTATGACAAGTATCACGTGAGAACGTGATTCGTGACAGAAAGCTAGTAGAATACCAAGAACTAACTAAAACACTTCTAAATATTTACTAAACTAATTAAAAGCCTAAGCACTATATCTAATTAGAAGTTAGAAATCTATATCTTCTAAGTTAACCCTAAAGTATTAATATTCGCTAAAAAGACCTATTACACGCAAGGACTCTTTAGGCCTAAACTCTGCTGGACACCCTCTCTTATAGTAACAAACCGCGTCCTCTTCTACCTAGTTTACTAAATATCCAAATCAGCTCCCAGATTCGTGTCGACGAACTATATGTATTCGTTATCCGATTCGTTCTTCAAGATAGCGGTATTACCATTCGCAGCAGCTTGATTAAACTTCTAGAAAAAAGAAACGACATGAACGTTTGTGGTAGTTCATAGATTGAGTGCCTGAATTTGGACTGAATATGTTCTTGATACCGTTGAGAGTTTTCTGGAGGTTCGCGAAATTGGGATGGTCATTTCCAGGTAGATTAGAGATGAGTTCATCAATTGGTCGACTTCCTGCGGCATTGAGAGCACCACCTGCTCCGAACTTGATGGTTGTTAATTGACTCCCACCTCGAAAGTAGGTCTTAAATGGAGTACATGTAATTGTAATACTACTGCTGAGAAACTGGAAAAATTAGTTGATGACATGAAATTTATACAAGTTTTCAGTGACCAAATCTACACCAGATATTGTATTGTGGTCTGTTTTCAAAGACCAATCGTATTCATAGCAAGTAGATCCAGGCTTCTTGAGTCGCCATTCGAGTTTAGCTACTGCGTAATGTTTGGTCTCACTGTAGGATTGCGGTCTTGGAGTTGCACAGTCCTGGAGAAGCAAGAGAGGCGGGCATTACTCCGTACACCCCTAAGTTATAAAAATATTATCCTAAAGAGCTTATCAACCAAATCAATTATACGAATAGTTTAGAACAATTAATACTTTTCACTCCTTATTAATTGAGGTAAAATATGACAATTAATAAAGTTGTACTAGACTTTTAGTATAATAACTTTAAATAGTATATAAGAGATACAGTCCTTATTCTATATACACTATACAAAAGTCTATTATACTAATCTTGTAGTACAAGCAAAATAATCGTCTTAGGATACCTAGGCCAATAAGAAGTAAGAGTTACCAATTATTGTAAGCTCTTTATATGACTATTTTAGTTGTCGGCGCTTTTAGAATAATTTTATTCTAAGAGAGGTGTGTACAGAGCTAACGACCAGGTATCATACAGAGCAATGTCCAGATTTCTTACTCTCCAAGACGTAGTATACCCCGAGCACCCTCTTGATACTTCCTATATATGAAATATACAGCCGTGACTTGCATAGGGTTCAGAATGGTTGTCACCGGTGTGTTGCGAAGCTGCGGCAGTTGCGGCTCAATGCCTAAACGCTCACATACGCCTAGGTAATCTTGCGGTTGGAGAGCCAATTTGTCTACCATCTTTCGTATGATCTGCTGGCACTGAAGCTCCCCCTCTGAATGGTCAGGAATCTCCAATTGTTTTTCATCCAAGATATATGTCAAGTCGGAATACCAGGTCTCAGCCTCCTGTCGCCAATTGCGTTGAGTATCCTCATCGTCAGGATCTGAAATGGCGGGAGCATTTTTCAAGCGTGTAAACATTACTGGCGAGGATATCGAAAACGCCGCGATGATCAGAGTACAGTAGACCCCAAATCGAGTGTTCAGGTTAAGTGCCGGGAGTATCCATAACCGTTTTCATCCGACGACAACCTCTTTCTGGCAAATTCGACCAATAATCCCAGAAGCTCGCTACGCCGGATACAAAAATAATTTGGAAGATTTTATCCCCGCCTGATGTGATGACAATCATAACCGTTGCCGGGGACACTCATAGCGAATTTCGGGGTTCCAGTCACATGATGAGCTTAGATCGTTCCTTCCATTTCGATTCAGGGAGATTAGAGGTCAGCATCGCTCAGAAAAAGCTTGGATGTTCAATGGATCGCAAGAAGCCGATGAATGGGTGAACGCATCTGGAATCGCGGGTTTGTTTCAAACTCGATCATATTCAGTTATTTGCGTAACGTCAGGCGGTCGCACTCTATGGAGCTTGACTATTCTCCCCTGTGCCACAGAAATGACACAGTAAGCGAGGTGTACTCTCAATCTTCAGAAAAACAACATAGGCCATTTCTGGAGTCATCGAGATGTCCCGTCGGAACATTAATTTATCCGAACAGGAGATGAAAATCATCACGTGTAGCTCTTGGCCAATGAAAAGAGAAGCCCCCTTTTTTGCTCCGCCGTTTCATAAACCGTGCCGTCATCCCGCTGCAGACTGGATTATCAATCTACAAGGTTGGAACGGTCAAGGTACCGCAAAGTCCTAAGTCCATTGTTGTTCTGCTTATCTCGTGAAGTTTGGCTTTTTCTTATCTTGAATCATGGATATCAATATGAGTTGTTCCTCGCGTTGATATCTCACTTGTTTGTCTCTTTGTGTGTTCTCAGTCCCGTATTTCACGTTCGTATATCCCCGGGACCAGTTCTATCGCGACCTCAGAGCTGGAGTTGATCCGGGATACGGGATACCGTCTCTCCCAACATGTCTTCAACCACCAAAGCTGGGGGGCAGGTAATAGGAGAGAATACTTCCCTTCTGAGACCCAATGATGAGACCGTTGATGATCGGAGCTCCACGACACTGAGCGGCGATGAAGAAGAGCTTCTTGATACTGATAAATCGAATCAGCATGTTGGGCGAGGAAGAGGACTACTAATTGCGTTGAGTGTCTGGGCTTTAATATTCTTACAAGGTTTAAAATCATATTCATCATGAGAGAGCAACGCTGATGACTATTCTCAGCTTCAAATATGTCCGGGATCACAACCACGCAGTCGAAGATTGCTGAGGATCTGAATGCTTTTGATTCCGCGAGTTGGTTTACTTCGAGTTACTTGGTGAGCTCCTTCTTCGAATCGAATCCAAGGGAGTAGCATGTGACTTATACTTTGCTAGATTGCCATGTCATCCTTCTCCCCGTTGGTTGCCCGACTAGCCCAGATTTTCTCTCCCCGGGACTGTATGTTTGTTTCGTCCTTCATCTTTGCTATCGGTGGTCTTTTGACTTCTCAGGCTCCTGATTTGAAGGTGTTCTTACTTGGCAGAGTTATCAGTGGATTGGCGGCTGCTGGAATCATGACCATCTCATTTATCCTTGTGCTTGAGCTGTCGGGGAAAAAGCGAAGAGGTCTAATTATCGGGCTTCTAAATACCTGCTTTACTATGGGTGTATCTTTAGGTGCGGTCATTGCGGGCGCACTACTGAAGGGCTTTGGTTGGGTACGTTCCATTTTATTTCCCAAGATCTGATTCTGCGCTTGCTAACCATTTCCAGAGGTTTCTGTTTTGGGTTCAAAGCCCACTTGCAATACTAGCAGGTTTTGCGATATTCTTCACCATACCCAAATCATTTACATCCGGCCAGAAAAGTACAGCAGAGTTCTCAATTTCCCAAAAGCTAGCCAGAATAGACTATCTCGGTGCATTTCTTTTAGTAAGTTCCCCGGGTAATTTTGCCCTGTGTGAATTCTAACATGTATCAGACCAGCGCATTAATTCTTTTCCTTTTTGGGATGTCTTGGCCAAAAATACTCTGGCTCCCAATTGTAATTTCTGTTCCTCTGGTCATCGCTTTTATATTTGTTGAAATATATGTTGCCAGTGAACCCATAATCCCAGTCACAGTATTAAAATCTAGAGGGGCCCTCCTTTCATGTATCGCCCAGCTAGGAATCATGTCTGCACGTTGGATGGTACTTTTCTACACCCCAACCTACGCAATCGCAGTACTCGGCTGGTCCCCCACTTCAGCAGGAACCATTTTAATTCCCACGAATGTTGGGTTTGCAACCGGAGGAATCCTTGTGGGATGGCTTCACATCAAGAAATCGCGATCATACTGGCTGTAGGTTTGTACCTTCCATTTGATAGCAATACTAATCAGTCTTAGCGCATCAATATTATCTTTCACACTATTCGCTCTCACGCTCCTAACACTCTCTCAAATATCAAATAACTCCACCCCACCACCACTCTACTACTTCGTTGTCTTCCTCAACGGTCTCTGCACCGGTGCAGCTCTGAACTATACACTCTCCCACCTCTTGCATCTCACACCCCCAGCAACACATTTCATCACCATATCCCTCTTAAACACTTTCCGCGGCTTCGCAGGCTCCTTCGGTACCGCTATTGGCAGTGGTTTCTTCGTTAGAGTTTTGAAACGCACACTCGAAACGGGATTTGAGAAAACGGGCGGTTTGGAAGGACGAGAAGATTTAGTCAGGAGATTACTAGGTAGTCCAGCTCTCGTGCAGAATTTGAAAGGTGTGGAAAAGGATATTGCTATGAAGGGGTATATGGCGGGGTTGAAGGCTTTGTTCTTGGCGGGGGTTGGTGTTGCTGTTGTTATGGTTTTTGTGCAGTCTGGTACTGGGTGGATTGCGCCTGCTGATGAGAAGGAGGATGAGAGGGGGGAACGAGAGGTATTGATTGAGGAGACTATTGGGGAGGAGGGGTTGTAAGGTGGGTTCTTTTGATTGAGTTGTATATATCACACTAGATTTGATTGTATAATTGTGTAGTATAATAGATTGGAAGCTTACACGTAGATGTAGACACATTCCCCCTAGGTAGTTTGGCAGCTCGACTACGGTAGCTTTAAAAACACATTAATAAGTCTCAAATTGTTATCATTTATTTACTGTTTACTATAATTATCATCTCGTTCACTTTTAGCTTGATAAAGCTTCTTCCTTGCGTTGTTGTCCAAAAGTAAGAGGCATAGTACCAACTGCCAAGCACTATCAAATGTACCGCTTCATGCTGACAAATCCACCCAGCTCCCTCCGCCAATCAAGTCCGGATATTTCAAATGCGCTTCATGAACGTCGAACATTGATCTCAACCTCAAGATAGCGCAACACAGCCATTGCGCACCCACGACCATTAAAATGGCCACCAAACTCGCCCCCCAGCTGCTCCGAAGCAGCTTCCAACCTCTTCGTCTAGCCTCACGCTCGCAGTGCCGCTCCTTCAACGCCAGTGCAAGATCCAGCAGCGATGCGCTCCAAGTGGTAAGCTACCCTTCCATCTGCCTCTATCCCTACGACCATCACGATATTAACTCGTCCGTCCGCCCCAGCATCGAGATACGCCCGTCAACAATGCGAAAATCCCCTTCAAGTTCAACGACCAGAATAACAAGCTCATCGATGAGATCCTCAAGCGGTATCCCCCCCAATATAAGAAGGCTGCCGTGATGCCCATCCTCGATTTGGGACAGCGACAGCATGGGTTCACGAGCTTGAGCGTCATGAATGAGGTGGCGAGGATTTTGGAGATGCCGCCTATGCGTGTGTATGAGGTGGCTACGTTTTATACTATGTATAACCGATCGCCGGTGGGGAAGTATCATTTGCAGGTTTGCACGACGGTATGTTACTTCTAATTAAGGGCTACGATGGCAGAGCTGATGGGGGAATTAGACACCATGTCAACTTGGAGGTTGCGGGAGTGATAAAATTGTCAAGGCTATCGAAGACCATCTCGGCATCAAACCGGGTCATACTACAAAAGATGATCTCTTTACATTTGTGGAAGTGGAATGTTTAGGCGCCTGTGTGAACGCTCCTATGGTTCAAATCAACGACGATTTCTACGAAGATCTCACACCCGAATCCACCGTCGCCCTCCTCGACTCTCTGGCCGAAAGCGCAAAGGCTGGTGGTACCTCCCACGAAGTAGGAACTGGACACCTAACTGGCGAAGACAAGAATGTAAAGAGTGGAAAGGAGGTTGGAACTGCGAAGAGTAAGGTTGGTGTACCTAAACCGGTGCCTGCGCCGGGACCAATGAGTGGAAGGAAGACTTGCGAGAATAGTGCGGGATTGACGAATTTGACGAGTCCGATGTGGGGTCCTGAGGTTTTTAGAAAGGATCTGTAGATGGATGGGATGGGGGAAAGGGGGGGCGGGGG